AAAGGCTTTGAGAGTCAAACGGTTTTGACTATTTTGACTAGGTGCGTTGCATCATTATAAAGCATGTCTTCGGTCCGTCCTCCCTGCAGCTCTACTCTGTTTTCCAGTCACACAGGTTTGATCAAGGGGCCAATTATAGCAGCTATAGAAAACCCAGTTAAATAACCCTTCTGTGAACACAGGTTTTGTACTGAGTAAATAACCTTTTACTATCTGAGTAATTGGGGAAACTGCTTTTTCCCCAGAGCAGAAAAACAGACCTCTAGATAAATTTCACACATTAAAATGTACCACAAATGTTTAGCCAAGGTTCAAAAGCTTATCAACCGGCAAAGATGGTTTCCCTTTGAGGTAATCTCAGGTTCAGAGTATGCATGTGTGCGACCCCTTTATATACATATGAATGGGATCACCAGCATTGTGCAGTGACTCTGCTACTAAACTGAGCAACTATCGGAGACCTAAAAAAATATTAAATATTATATATACATACAAAAAAATTAATCAGATCTAGTCCCATGCATGGCAGCATGGAGCTCATTCACACCAAACTCAGTTCCTCATGAGGCTGAAGTCTATTTCTTTAGATGTGTTTGGTCAGCAAGCTGACATTTCACATCAAATATATGAAATTTAAAGTCTGTGCCTTCAAATAAACTGACAGCTAAAGAATCCTGCTGCATATTAAGAATTACAGGGGATTACCAAATGAAGTGAAGGTAACTTGATGCAAAAAGTATTTTGTTTTTAAAAGTAAGAAGAAAATCTCCCCCACTAGAGAGCATCAAGTGCGTCATGCAAAGCCGAGCCTTTTAAAAGATGTCCTCTTTTACTAAAGCCTGAAACCCAGCAGGACGACAACACATCAAAACTCTTAGGGCTATGCAGTCTGCTGCAACAGCAGTGCACAGATGCACTACAGATGTGTTGCATAGATAATGCGTAACACTGTTTTACATACAAAACCTGGCAGTTTAATGCACTACTGACATATACTGAAACATGTGGGTATAATTAATAGCCTTCACCCATCTGCAAAGGTATTGCCATTAGTCTATCCAACCATACATCTATACATCCATTTTCTTCTGCTTATCCAATTCAGGGTCATGGGAGGGTTGGAGCCTATCCCAGCTACCACAGGGCTGAATGCCGTCAGGTTTTTGGAAAAAACTGCAGGGATTTGCTCTTATTTAACCACTGGATGTTAAAGCTCAGCTGACAGTCGATGCTTTTAGCAAAGCTCAGATTCAGATTGAGACTGTGCCGACCAGTCGAGTTCTTCTAAACCAAAATGTAAAAATAAATATAAACATTCTTTATGTACCCAGGTTTTTACTGCGACTGTCACCAGAGTTGAAAATGATCCTGTATGAAAATTTTCCTTTACTGGAACTAATGAGCCTTAACAAGAGAAGAGCCTCAGACTAAAGGTAGAAT